TCCATGCCTTCAAAAACTATAAAAGATTTCACACTTTTGTTTCCAAAATTAAAGATCCCACTCCAGTAATAAATAAGTCTGATGTAATTTACACAATTGTTTAAATTGTTCGGCAACCTAAATCGGAGTTACATACCAATATCTGGATAAGAGGGTAAAACAACATATCTATAATTGCAAAAAACCCAAACAAAATACAGCACTGGCTACCCACCATTTTCAACACCAACTTAACTTAGATTTCAACAATCCAAATGTATTACATACAGAACAAGACAAATGTAAACATAACTTTTTAGAAATGGTTTACATCAACAGAGTTAAACACAGTATCAATTACAGAACAGACACATGTAAACTAATTCGCAGCTACGCTAATACAAATCAAATTCATTATCAATAAAATACATATAGCTTTTTTCAGTTAAATTGGTACTTTTTTCTACCAATTTAATACTTTTTCCAACTAAATTAGTACTTTTCCCAAGGGATTTAATACTTTTCCCAACCAACTTAGTACCCTTCCCAAGCAAATTAATACTTTTCCTGAGCAATTTAATACTTTTCAATTGTGGTGGGGTAAAGGGGGATATTGAACCTACTGTTACATCATACTGTCAAGAAACGAAATTTATTATTGAAAATAGGAAAATTAACAAAATGAACCATTTATTTCAAAATCAATGCAGGGGACATCCAGCAACCGCTGATGGTAATTTCAGTATCACATCGATGACAAAATTGGAGCAATCTGTAGAATTGATGGTGTTGACACGGCAACTAATTACTTCTGCAATGTCATGTTCTGCAGCTGTCCAACCTCAAACCCTCCTGGCTGATGCCTTTATTTTAGAAAAAGCATATTCAGCTGGGTTTGGTTTAACATTGGGGAATATGGAGGCAAGTACTTGATGGTGTGAGAAAACGATTCTACAACATTGCGTACATCTTGCGTTCTGTGAATGGCTGCATTATCCATTATCAAAATAGAGTTGTTCAGCTCCATTGCATTAAGTTTCTCGCAAAGATCATGTAGGAAATCGCAAAATAAATTACTGTTACAGTTCGCACTACTAATTACAGAATAATGTACTACCTGCTGACTATTTATAGCAAGAACGAAAGTCGCGTTGCGTCCACGAACTGTTGGTACGGTGACAACAGCTCTCGTGTTAACCCTTGAACGTGCACGTGTCCGCCGCAAATATAGATTAAATCCTGATTCATCTATAAAAATTAATTTTGCGCGATTTTGGGGGACCCATATTTCAAAATCCATTGCAAACTGCCTTCGTTGTTGTACCGTTGACTCAGAATTCATGCGATCTATTTCAATGGATGCGTGCTTCAAAGTTATTTTTAATGACGTTAGCCCTCGGTGTATTGAAGAAATAGACAAATTTATGTTGCATAATGCAAGCTGTTCTTTAATATCTTGTAATGATAGGCCCGCCTTTCCTTCAATGATTTTCTCAATAGCGGCTAGAACGTCAGGGGTCAACTTGTGCAGCCGGGGTCCACTTCTTTTTTTAATTACTAACTTACAGTTTTGAGACGTATAATTTTTGTATATACTGTAGCCAGTTCGAGTTTTTAAATTTGATTTTTGAGCTGCATCTTTGACTGAATGACTCTCTTCAAATAATTTTATAAAAAGTTCTTTTCGATGCCTTGATGTAACTGCATACGTACCCATGCCCGGTCTTGAACGTTGGATACCGGACGAAGATGAACCGCCTGCGGCACTAGGTGATGATTCATCATTATGACCACTTATGTCATTTCAGTCACTTCCGTCACTCATTCTATACATATAAAACTCACGCAATGCATACAATAAGACGTGACAAACAACTGAATATTTTAGGGGTAAAGAAATCAAGAACAGGGGAAGGAGAATTTCCTAGAAATCCGTCTGGGAACGATAAGGGAGGCTGGCGAACTCAATGAAATAAGTGAGACAAGTTCAAACGAAACCAGCTAATAAAGTGTTTCATACGGCAACACGTCATGATTGACGCTATGCTCCACATTTTTTTCGAAAACGTTTTAAATAAGTATTAATTTGCTTGGGAAAGGTACTAATTTGGTTGGGAAAGATATGAAATTGCTTGAGAAAAGTACTAATTTGGTTGGAAAAGTATTAAATTGGTAGAAAAAAGTACCAATTTGACTGAAAAAAGGTATATATCACACAAAACATATAGAACAACCATTACATTCCACACATCATACATTTCTACATGATTTCATTATTCAACAATTTGGCTTTTCTTTCCTATCCTCCTCTATAATCCTGAAAGGATAATCAGGCCGAACCATTACACATTTTTTCCATTTTCGACGGTTTTGTTCTCAAAGAAGCCGACTTCTCGTATAAAAATGGGTTTCAATCCGTACTTCCTTCCCCACCCTTTCAACATCCAACGTATGGATATCCACAAGTGTGTGGTGATTAGTGACCGTTAATCGATAATTATTCAGAAATCGTGAGATGCGGTCTGGTGTGATGTAGGTTTCAGAAAAAAAATTTCCACATCGTACATGTATTTGCAAAATATTAACAATGTTTACAAAACCCAGGCCCTTAAGATGATCTCAATAAAGATCGAAACGTTGACACGGTTTAAAACTAGTGTTGGCCGAATTGTCAAATAGACTAAACCCGCACGACATCAGTGTATTGCGGAAGTGTTGTCTCCAGCGCCTTAGTATAACATTCCAACACGATTGGCACTCTCAACACGACACGCAAGAATGGCACAATTACACAGAAGACAAACACTTTGAGCCCTGAAGATGATCTCAATAAAGACCGAAACGTTGGCACGATAAAGAAAATGTTTTTCTGAAACCTACATCACACCAGACCGCACCTCAAGATTTCTGAATAATTGTGATCAATGATATTACCTCTCGCACAGCTATTTTATATATTTCATTGGTTTGTTTATCTTCTTGATCATCTTTGATTACTTCACCGTATTAGAAAGTTTTATTGTCTTAATTTTTTCCCCTTTATAGTGAGGTATCAATACTGACGAACTATTAATTGAAATTATTTTTGGTACATTATTTTGTCATTTTGATGCTGCGTAATCTTAATTACATTTATAGCATCAAAGGTAATTTGTTCATTATTGTAAACATTACCTTGATAGTTTCTTTCCTTTTTTTAGTTAGAGCAGTCGTTGCTGATGAACTATTTTGATTATTTATCATTGTCATTATCTCTCGTACACAAATTTTGACGTTTTGTTTTTGTACATTATATTTCTCTACCGAGCCCAATAAGATTATTTATTTGTACTGAAAAATACTGTGGTTTTAATTTCCTTTCTCTTTCTGCTTTATAGTGAATTATAAATATTGAGGAATTATAGTAATGAGTGAAATTATTTTTCGTATATCTTTTTCTACTGCATTTCTAATTTTTGATTCATATCCTCACCCACATACTGATATACTCATCAAAAAGTAAATATACAAAACGTGACGTAGGTTTCAAAAAAACATTTTCTTTATCGTGCCAACGTTTCGATCTTTATTGAGATCATCTTCAAGGCCTAGGATTTACAAACATTGCTTACATTTAACAAATACATTTAGGATGTGGAAAAGTGAATTTATACAATGCAAATTATATTTTTTAAATTCAATAAAGGTATTTCTACTCACACGAAGTGTTTGTCTTCTGTGTAATTGTGCCATCCTTGCGTGTCGTGTCGAGAGTGCCAGTGAGATTTTGCTATTTTGTGTTTATATACATTGGATTTTGAAGGGGTGGGGAAGGAAGTCGGTATAGAAAAAATACATTTTTGTATAAGGCGTCGGCTTCTTTGAGGTGAAAAGAGCCGACGAAGGGAAAAAATGTGTTGGTAATGGTTCGGCCAGATTATCCTTTCAGGATTATATAAAAAGGGATAAATAGGAAAAGGAAAGCTAAATTGTTGGACAATTAGACTATGTGAAAAATATTTGATGTGTGGAATGTAAAGTGATGTTATACGTATGTTATCTGTATTGTATTTGATTAAAGATATTGGCGTAGCTGCGACTGAGTTTATATGTATCTGTTCTGTAATTGATGCTGAGTTTTTCTCTGTTGATATAAACCATTCCTAAGAAATTACGTTTATGTTTGTTTTGTTCTGTATGTAATATTTTTGAATATAAATTGTATATAAACAAAAAACATCAATATCCCACTGGACTCTCAACGCGAAACACAATAGTGACACATCTATACAGAAAACAAACACTTTCAGTTAGTACAAATACTTCGATTGCATCTAAAAATTTTGTCATTGCATAAACTCATTTTTTCTCATCTAATATGTGTTTGTATAATTTAAACAATGTTGACAAACAACAACAACGTCACGTCACATCAGACCGCATCTCACGATATCTCCAAAAAATTAAGGAAAAAAAGGGTGATGCTAATTTTTACAAGAATGAACTAAACATACTTTATGATGAGAAGATAAATTGCCACGTGCCATAGGAAATCTTCGAACCAGATGTACAAGAGATAACTTAACTTATCATAACAGTCCATCAGCATTTCTAGTACACGAATAGTAACAAAAAAACATAAACATAGAGACACAAAGAACAATGAACTAAACCTACTGATCACGTATCAACTAGTAATCAAAATTTATAATGGCAAAACGTCAAAGCAGATGTACTCGCAAAAATTTCATTGATCTCAATAGTCTGTCAGTACTGATATTGTACGAACAGAAAAATAATCAAAATTATGACCACTGTCTTTTCTTGTACAATGAATTAATCGAAATTCCGAAGCAAAAAATTAAAATAGATTAACAGAGAAGGCTTAAATCTTATCAGTAGTTTATCAATATCTTTCATTGAACGAATGATTGTATAGAAAAACATTTTTCTACAAGGAACCACGTTTGTTTAATCAGTTACACTGCAAATCTTGTCATCATATTTATGTATACGAGTTAATAATTAATGCTTGTTTTCAGATGGCAGGTGGCAGAAGGGTGAAAAAGGTGAACGGGGGCCAAGAGTAAGTTGATCAGATTTAATTCAAGTTTTGGTAAATTTTGAAATGTATTTTTTTTTTCAGGGTCCGCCTGGCGATGCTCTCCCCGGCCCACCGGGATCTCCTGGTCCGACGGGGGTAAGTGTAAGGGAGGAAGTGAAGTCTGAAAATTAAAATATTTCCCCGGGTGAATTTTTTCCCGTGTAATCCCGGTGTTCGCTTATTCCTCGGTTCCATTTCCCGGCAGGAGGGTCGCCTTTTGAATGCCTCCCACGTCGGCTGACTTTTAATTCAGAATCCCCGGAGTGATTAGTGCTCGAGCGGTCCCCGGGGACCTTTTATTATTTTATCTACCTTCTTTCTTTCTCCATCTCCTGGAAAAATGAGTTTTCACATTAAATATAAACACCCCTTAGCGAATGAAAGAGTTGCCCACTTCGGAAAGAGCAACCATTTTCCCCCAAAAGTTGTGAATTTTAAAAACAAGCTTTTGAAAACTTTCTAAGAGTAGTTAAAACATGAATTCTTGTGAATATTAACCGACAAGATTTGAAATAGACCTAATCCTACTTTCTAAGATTGGACGAGTTTTTAAAATAAAATATTATATTTTTCATCTGGTTTCTTCTTTCTGAATATAAGATAAGGAGAAATTTGACAAAACAAAAGTTAATGAAACTGTTTTATTTATATCTTCGATAAATACTAATTTTTTAAAAGTATGTATTGGTTAACAATAACTATACATATTAACCCAAAAGCTTGATTAACTTTTTCTCCCTCTCATTCTCTCTCTCTCTCTCTCTCTCTCTCTCTCTCTCTCTCTATCTATCTATCTATCTATCTCTATCTCTATCTATTTATCCATCTATCTATCTCACTCTCTCTCTGACTGTCTGTCTCTCTCTCTCTTTTTCTTGCTCTCTCTCTCTTTCCCTCGTTTTTTATCTTTCTTCTCTTCTCCCATACTTCTTTCTTCTTTCTTTGCCTCTCTCTTCCGCTCTTACCATGTATCTCTCAGACATTCTCTCTTTTCATTTTCTATTAAATCTCTCCTCTTCTATTTTTCTCTTTCACTAGCTTTTGCCTTTCTCACCACTATCTATTTCTTTCTTAAATACTTTCCGTCTTTCTTAAATCTTCTCATTCTCAATCACTTTTTCTTTTCTCTATCCCTTTATGCCCGTATCTATACATCTATCTATCTACCTTTTCATTCATCTAACTGTGTATAATTAAATTTATTTTTACATATTTAATTTATCTATATATTTCTACCTAGCTTATTATCTCTCTCTCTCTCTCTCTCTCTCTCTCTCTCTCTCTCTCTCTCTCTCTACCTCTCTTTTTTTCAATTTCTATCTTTATAACTCTTCCTCCATACCTACCTTTCATTATTTTTCTTTCTGACTATAACATTTTATTTATTATTTTCTATCTCTTCTTTACTGTGTTACCTCTTTAATGTTTTCTCTGGTGGTCGTTGGAACGTTGGAAACATTTTGATCATTTTCTTCTCAATCACTCTTGCACTGACGCTTTTTCACTACCTCTATTTCTCGGTCTCGCTTGCTCTATCTTTCTACCTATTTATTTACCCCTTTCTTTTTATACCTTTTTCTCTATTTCTATTTCTTTTGCTTTCTGTCTTCTTTTGTGTTTGTGTTTTTGTGTTGTTGTTTTTGTGTTTTTTCCCTCCATCTATATCGTTATCGTTCTGTGTCGATCTATCGGCATATCTTTTTATCAATTTATTTAACCACCTCTTTCTGTATCTTGTTCTCTCTATCTCTATCTATCCATCTTGCTATTCTATATCTTCCTATCTATTACTCTCTGACTCTCTATCTTTTTATCTATTTATTTATCCATTTCGCTATTCTCTCTCTCTCTCTCTCTCTCTCTCTCTCTCTCTCTCTCTCTCTCTCTCTCCCTCCCTCTTTCTTCCTGCTTTCTCTTCCCGTTCTCTTTCTCTGTCTTTACATTCCACAAACTTTGTGATTTTTTAGTGTCTTTCATAAGAAGTCTCTCTGGTTTTTATCTCTCTCTTTCTTTATTCTCTTTTTTTCACTTTTCTAAATTTCTCTCTTTCCGTTTTCTTCTCTTTCCACTTTTTCTGTTATTTTTTTTCCAAAACATTTAAAAAATTAATGTCATCCATAAAACATCCCTCTCAAACTTTTTTTATCTTGCTTTTTTCCTTTCTTTTGCTCTTTCGCACTGTCTTTTCTTTTTTTCTCGAGTTTTTCTCAAATTCTATGTAATTTTATCAGCCGTAACACTCTCACTTCCCCTGAAAAAATCGCGCTATCCTGAGATTTCGGAATTTTTCAAAACTGGTTACATCAAATAGCTCAGAAGTACAAAATGAACAATTTTATCTTTTAACCTTTCAGGTTTTTTGTCCCATAACCACAAGCCTTCGTAGAAATTGACGATCCTGAATGACGTAATGACATTACGCCACAGACAAAAGTAAAGTAAAAAAAATAACGAGAATAAAATTTAAAAAATGAAAGAAAAATTGAAATGAACCATATATGTTTAACCTTAAACAGTGATTAATAAAAATATGATTAATTTCACTAATTCCGTGGTCCGCTTGACCAATTAATACTTTACAATTAATTAAGGTTTTTAGTTGAGATGAAAAAAGTTAATGGTACGAGAGGGATTCGAACCCACGACCTTCGGCTAGATACGCCGCTGCTCTACCTGAGCTATCGATCTCGATCTACTAATTAATTAACTTCAGAAGCTATAAATTTACCTTATTTTCCATGCTGTCATATACAAAAATTTAACTGATTTCTGTCATCGTCGATTAGCGTTGTTTCGGTGAATTGTTAGAGGACACCTGGTCGAAATTATTGCCAACCGTCTTCTTCAAACTGCATCTGGAACATCTAGGTACCGTTGAACAAAGAAGAAACAAATTAATTTGGACCAGACGTTGCTTCAATTTAATCTCAGCGTACAAGCGGGCGCAAAAGCATTTCATATTTATCGGCACCTGGAAAATTCCCCCTAATGAGGTACTCGGAAATATTAATTCAATTTAATGTTAATTACACTTATGTAACAATGATAATTATTAAAAAATAGAGGAACCTTACATCCCTGCATTATTATGATATTAACTATTGTTTACAAAAGCGATAAACAGCCGGGAAATTAATTACAGAAAACAAAACTAAATTAAAGGAAACTGAACTATTCAAGAACTAGATTTTATTATTCATTTGTCTTTATTAATGATGATGAACAGAAAAAAACAAAGAACGAAATATTATTTTTTTAAACAATGTAAAATCTAAACAAGTCTATATTCAATTTTGAATTTTATTTTTTTCGAAAATAAATCGATTTGGAAATTTATTTTCTAAATCAATAAAAATGATGTAAGGACGAGGTGAATATGTCCCATTGTGCTCAGAGGCAGGCACATTTCCAGAGTTGGCATGGTTCGATATGTCCCCTTTTCAATGGTAAGAAGCCACGTACCATCCTCCTCAGTAGAAACATCGACTGAGATTATTGTTTTCGATTAAAGCTCAAGGCTCAAAGGACAAAGTCACTTCTCAATATTATATGAGACTTGATGACATCCAAGGTCCCGTCCGTAAATCTATCTGTGATTTTTCATTCTCACACTCTCTCTCTCTCTCTCTCTCTCTCTCTCTCTCTCTCTCGCTCTCTCTCTCTCTCTCTCGCTCTCTCTCCCTCCCTCCCTCCCTCTTCTTCTCCTACATATTTCATAATTTCAAATTTCAATGCAATGCCAATAATGCCAGACCGGCTAATTACTTAATTCATCTACCAAAACACAGAAAAAAAAAACAATTAGCAAATACCTTTTTCTTGAAAATCCACGGTTCCTAGCAATTATAATCTAAAGGCCAAAAACTGAAAAATCCCAAGTTCTCCATGGTTGAAATATTTTAATTAATTTTGTCAATTACAATGATGGTTCGGGCTTTCGTTCGGGCATCATCAACACCTAAACATGGAAAACCTCAAGGTATGTATATATAAGAATATATATATATATATATATATATATATATATGGCATAGTCCAGGTATATTTAGGTTCTGATGATGCCCGAACGGAAGTCCGAACGCCAATGTAATTGACAAAATTAATTAAAATATTTCAACCATGGAAAACTTGACAATTACATGGACGTTCGGGCTTCACACCTAGCAAATATACCTGGACTCTCTCTCTCTCTCTATATATATATATATATATATATATATCCCATGAGGTTTTCTATGTTTAGGTGCTGATGATGCCCGAACGAAAGCCCGAAACGCCCAGGTAATTCACAAAATTAAATAAAATGCGATTAGTGACCATTAAACGATAATTATTCAGAAAACATGAGATGCGGTCTGGTGTTATGTAGGTTTCAGAAAAACATTTTCTTTATCGTGCCAACGTTTCGATCTTTATTGAGATCATCTTCAGGGCCCGGGATTTACAAACATTGTTTACATTTAAAAAACACTTGTAGAATGTGGAAAAAAGTGAATTTATACAATGGAAAATATATTTTTTTATATTCAATCAAAGTACATCCTGAAGATGATCTCAATAAAGATCGAAACGTTGGCACGATAAAGAAAATGTCTTTCTGAAACCTACATCACACCAGACCGCATCTCATGTTTTCTGAATAATTATCGATTAACGGTCACTAATCGCATTTTATTTAATTTTGTGAATTACCTGGGCGTTTCGGGCTTTCGTTCGGGCATCATCAGCACCTAAACATGGAAAACCTCATGGGATATATATAGTCCAGGTATATTTGCTAGGTGTGAAGCCATCACACCAGACCGCATCTCACGATTCCTGAATAATTAAATAAAATATTTCACCCACGGAGAACTTGGGATTTTTCAACCTTTGGATAAGAATTATCAATTCATTTAAAATAAAAGCTTCAAAAATCTTTAACTCAATACCGAAACATATAGTTCAAATAAAAATCATAATATCATTCAAACTAAAACATAAGGAATATTTTTTTAAATAAATATGTTGAATATAATACTACAGTGTTATGTCCTGGCTCCATATAGAGAGCGTGTAGGTATGCCGCCGGATTTAAGAATGGTTCTCGGACAAGGTAGCGAGTTTCAGGGTCCCCTGTTCCGCTTTTATATAGCCGCCAAGATGTGTGTTTTGTGTTTCTGTGTTTTGTATGAGTGAGTGTATTTATTACAGTGAATGGGGAGGGGCTGACGGTGAAATAGCATCCCGATCGCGCCTTGATGTTGGGTCGATGGCGGAATGTATATAAAGTATGCCGGTTGATGGAGGAATTTTGAGTACCCCATCTGCTAAATAAAATGAATGGAATGTATGTAGGTGTGAATGTATTTATTTGTGTGAATGCTTAGTGAATGTGCGATGTTATATTTCGTACGCGCTCGGGGCTGAATTTACCAAGATGTTGGATGACCCTAAAATCTCTCTCTCTCTCACCCTCTTATTTCCTTTCTAAACGTTAAATATATTTCAGAACGCAGCTTGCTCTTGCAACCTGACTGAGATGATGTCTCTCGTCGCCGCACATCTCTCCTCTGGAGGCCAGTTCAAAGGAAAAGCCGGCTTGGCCGAATTCCGCGTAAGTGCACAGAACCCAAATACAACAAAGTGTTAACTGAACAAAATTTATTATTAAATTGGGATTAAGTTCGAGAATTGGTCGTTACAGAGTGTCAGAATTATGCGGAAATTTTTTTCCTGTGACAGGATTTTAAAAAAGTCTATTTTGTTCGAGTTATAGAGTTGTGATGTTTCTTCAGAAATGTAGCATATTCATAACTAAAAATATCAAAACTGCGTTTAAGAAAGGAGACATTGTAGATTTTAAAGTCGTTGGAGTTAATTCATTTTTTAATTAATTTATTCTTTGGTTTGTTATTTTTCAGAACCTGATAGGCCTTCCGGGGGAAAAAGGATTACAGGGAACAAAGGGTGAAAAAGGCGAGCCAGGCCCGAGGGGACTTGAGGGCGTTCAAGGACAAAAAGGTGCGTTTTCTCTTTATTCTCTCGGTTGTATTTATTTATTTTTTGTCTCAGGAAGCCCAGGTTTAAGTGGACCCCCTGGAATCCCAGGAGCACCAGGACCACCCGGGCCACCTGGATCTTCAGAGTACATTAGTTATAATGTGAGTTTTTTAAAAAAAAATTTAAAATTATTTTGAATTTTGATTTTTTTTTCTTTAAGGAATTGTCTTCCGGCCCGGAAGGGATCAAAGTCCCAGCGACGGGGGATAAGAGGGTCGTAGGGCTCAAGGGCGACCGAGGGGAAACCGGGCCGAAGGGCGCCAAGGGCGAAAGGGTGAGTCGTTCATTTCAGTTCAGAAGGGCTTGCGAGGATAAAGTCCTCGGTTCGATTTGTTAAGACAGCTCGGCCAACTGTTGCTCCGGCTTTACCGAGGATGAAACTTTTACTTTATAGCCGGAAAGAATTTGATCATATTTTTTGCCTTTTTTTTAGGGATATCAGGGCGATCAAGGGCCCCAAGGGCAGAAAGGAGAACCTGGGAGGGAAGGTTACGAAGGCGTCCCCGGTCTTCCTGGCCGACCTGGAAATAAAGGCGAAAAAGGTATTTTTCCAAAAAATAAAAAATTAATAGAATAAAGGTTTTAATTATAAAAATCATTTATACGAAGGTTACTTTTCTCGATCCTTCAGAGCTGGAAGAAAAATTCCTTTAAAACCTTCAGTAATATTTTCTAAACTTTTCTGAACAATGAATATTTATTTCGCTGTATATCGTCTGATAAGTTTGAAATAACATTTTTTTTAAAAATAATCATAGATAAAAAGAATATTTCAAGCGTGCATTTCTGACGAAGAGAATGGGAGAAAAATACACCCGCTCAACTTTCGCCTATCGATTCCTTCGCCGAAAAGCAAGATCAAAGGGCATACTGAACAAAGTAGATCATAAAAGAAGAAAAAAAATTGGAATAAAAATATATACCCAGTTTTACTATGAAACGGTAAAAGGAAGACGAGCGAAACTCTCCGGCCCCGCGCGCACCTGATTAAATTCGCCTAACCCATGGGTACTCAATTCTAGACAATATTGTTGTTGTTGTTCGAGTATCTTTTTGCGATTTTAATAATTTATTGTTGCGCTCAGATTATTCCATATCACTACCTCTTTACAGTCAAACTTAATGATTAATTTCACTAGTTTCGTGTCCGCTTGACCAATTAATATCTTACAATTAATTAAGGTTTTTAGTTGAAATAAAAAAGTCAGGGTCAAGAGCGGGATTCGAACCCACGATCTTCGGCTAGATAAGCCGCTGCTCTAACCACTTGAGCTATCGTGACCTCGATCCCTCGGACACCAACTTCCCAACTCGACCCCACCGTTTGAATTTTCCCTCCTTTTTGCCATTTTCAAATGTGTAATCTATTTGATTCTCGGCGACAAATGAAATGGCCACGGAGAGCTTTAGTGAAGGCATACTTCATTTTAACTTTTTAAATTCACTAGTTTCGTAGTCCGCTTGACCAAGTAATATCTTTTCTATATCTAATATCTTTACTAGGTTTTTAGTTGAGATAAAAAAGTCAATGGCACGATCCGAGAATCAAATAGATTACACGACATTTGAAAAATGGCAAAAAGGAGGAAAAATTCAAAAGGTGGGGTTGAGATGGGAAATTGGTGACCGAGTGGATCGAAGTCACGATAGCTCAAGTGGTAGAGCAGCGGCGTATCAAGTCGAAGATCGTGGGTTCGAATCCCGCTCGTGCCATTGACTTTTTTATCTCAACTAAAAACCTTAATTAATGATTAATTAATAAGTTATAAAATGGTTGGCAAACCCTTTTGGATAGGTTATGTGGAATGGCTTTTTTCAAGATGGTCGCAGATTAACTTAATTAATTACAAAATCTGAATTTAAAAGTCAGGTTTTCCTTTATGATTTTAAATAAATAACCTTTCCATTTAACATGAAAATATTTTGTCAAGGAGTTTTTTAAATGCTTAATTAAATAATGGTCAAGAAAATCACTATTTGTTTTTAAATTTTTAAGAAAAAAAAGTTTATAAACATTAAAATAATTTGAAGTTTTAAACGTCGGACCGCAATGATACCTGATTTGTCCCGATATCCTTCCTCTTTTGGCGAATATTCAAGGATCAAGCACGGTAACCGAGAAGGAACAGGGGGTGGCTTTGCAACCCTGGGCGCATTTACAAACCACTTTGCGAAGGGTGCTTCTTGCCTGAATGGGCCCTCTCGAGCCTATCTCTCTCCTTCAACCAGAACTTGGATGAGGCGAGACGGCGAAAACAACCCCCTTTCCGATCGTTCTTCGAAAAATAAAAAACGCCATCCTTTTTTTTTTTTTTTTTTTTTTTCAACGGAATACCTTATCAATGAACCGTTTTTCACTATCAGATTTTACCGCATTAAGAGAAAAAACCACAAGAGATATCTAACAAAGTACAAAAAACTAAAATACAAATCGAATCAGGAAAATATAATTTTTAATATATATAATAAGTTTTATAAATTGACACGAAATAATAATAAAACCTTAAACACTACAAAAAAGTGAAAAACTTAAAACGGTTATTGCTAATTTCAGATAAGAATAAAACAGATCATATTTATTCCAAAACAGTTCTTCACTGTTTGATAGCTACCAAATGAAGCTGAAACATAAAGAAATTATAGCATAAAAGCAATATTTTAACAAATTAATAAATTTTCTATTGTGGGGGGGAGTAAGGATGTACACGAGTCAATGGCAAACTCAGACGGATTAAAAATCATATAATAATCACAAATGTCCATTAGCACTTCCAGAATTCACATAACCATCATAAAAATTAAGACAATTTTAAAAGGATTTTGCCTACGAAAATGTACCAGTTTTGGTCGATTTCTCTCTCTCTCTCTCTCTCTCTCTCTCTCTCTCTCTCTCTGTGTGTGTGTGTGTGTGTGTGTGTGTGCAATATAGCTGGAAGTATAGATAAATGGATTGATAAATATAGAGATGGGTAGGTTGGTTGATTGATCGATTGATTGAGAAAAAAAGAGGGACATTAACGATTCCTGCCAATTGTTTATATTATTATCTTTGAATACTATTTAACTCACCGCTCTTGCAGGGAGAGGTTTGGCAAAAAGTTCTCAGAGTTGTATCCGAAGGGTGCGTTTTTGGTCCCATCCTATATAAGGTTTACAGTACTGACTTTCTTATACAGGGTGTTCGGATACTCTTGTCGTAAACTTTGCCAGTAGATTCTACATTCGAAACGGAACCAAAAAGTCCTAATTAACTACGGTCTGAATCTCAACAGTTTCGGAGTTATTTCACTTTTTCTTATTTTTTAAGATTTCACGACCTTGCTTCTAATAAACAATGGTAACTCCAAAATTAAAAGGTTTTAGACAAATCCGTTGATACCATTGAAAACTACGTTAAATTTCCAATAAGATGTGGTCAATAATAAACTTGTAACCCTTCGTGAAATAAGGATTTTAGTATCGATAACTTAAATTTTTTTTTTTCAAAGTTGAAAACTTACTATTGTGATTCTAAACCACTATTTCCAAATCTAAAGACCAGCAAATTCAGAAAAGTACTCCATTTAATATCCTTTTTAGTGGTGTAATTTCTTTTTTATTTACTTTTTCAAGGATGATAAAATTGATGAACGAAAGAAAAAAACATGGTTGAAGGATTGGTAAGGTGAAAGATTACTAATAATAAATAATAAAAAACTTAAGGAAATTTTAAATAACCCCCAAATTTTAAATAATTTAAAATAATTATTTGGAGATCGTGAGGTGCGGTCTGGTGTGACGCAGGTGTTAGAAAAAGATTTTCTTTATCGTGCCAACGTTTCGAACCTAATTGAGATCATCTTCAGGGCTCAAATTGTTTGTTTCCCGTGTAGATGTGTCATTCTTGTCTGTCGTGTTGAGAGAGCCTAAAATAATGTAAATAAACCCGCAAAACCCGTACGTAAAATGTATATCAGCGTATTCTTCATTAGAAAAATTAGCCATAGGGTTAACAAGATATCACATAGATAACTGAAAACGTTTTGAACCTTGAAATTCTTGTCATACGAAATAATAATAAAATAATCCTTTAAGTTGCAGTCGTGGTGGTAAATAAATAAACAATTGCCCTACTTTTGAACCCAAACGTTTAATAAATTCATTCTTGTTTTTTTTAATTTTCCACCTTAGTAATCCGTCAGCCACGGTTTTTTCCTTTCTCCATCAATTTCTTCATCTTTGAAAAAAGTAATTAAACAAGCAATTGTACAACTAAAAAACATATTAAATAGAGTACGTTTTCTGAAATTTGCTGGTTTCTAGGTTTGGAAATAGTAGTTTAGAATCGCCGTAGTAAGTTTTTCAATTTTGAAAAAAAAAATTTTTTTAAAGTTCTTCCTACTGAAACGCTTATTTCACGAATATTTACAAGTTTAGTATTGACTACAACTTATTGGATTTCTAACGTACTTTTCAATGGTATCAACGGATTTGTCCAAAACGTTTTAGTTTTCGACTTATCATTGTTTATTTGAAGCAAGGTCGTGAAATCTTAAAAAATCGGAAAAAGTAAAATAACTCCGAAGCTGTTCAAATTCGGACCATAGTTAATTAGGACTTTTTGGTTCCTTTTTGAATGTAGAATCTACTGGCAAAGTTTATCACGAGAGTAGCCGAACACCCTGAATAATATATATAATAAATCCCATTTGGAAAGACAAGTGCATGTACAAGAGGTGCTAAAATGCAACAGATACTTCAGTTTGGAATTGGATTTAAAAAAAAGTTTAGTGTACTAAGTAAATTAAACTGTGCCATAGATTTTATATAGTGTTGGAATGCAAATGTTTGCACAGCAGTAAAAGATCAATGTAAATAAGACAAGAAAAGATTTATTAGTGGTCTTTTAGGGTTAATTTATTTTTATTTTTTTAGGAGATTCGGGGTCACAGGGACCACCAGGACCTCCGGGACCCCAGGCGATTTATCTAGACTACGGTGATGGGACGCCGAACAAAGGTGAACGATTTTTCACGTACAATGATGAAAAATTATAACAAAATTTGTCCGAGGAAAGTTTTTTTTTTTGTCTTTGGCTTTGTCTAAAGGCCGGTAATTTATAAAAACGTAAGGGGGATATTCAAAAATCGTCTGAAGGGTAAGTAGTACTTTATTTTCATTGGTTTTTCCTGAGGGAACAGTCGGCCGTTTCGTAGAATACGAGTTGAAAAATATTTAAGAGTGATGAACTTTATCATTATCCCAGAGATAAATATCACCCATGGGGTGAGGTCGCCTGAGTGGACATTTTTTAAAATAATGGACCTTGGGACAGCATTTCCTTTACCGAGTAAACAGAAAATAAAAATGTAAAAAACTGCCTGCCAAAAAAAAAAATCTAAATTATTATATATCATTTTTTCATTTATACCATATCCAAAGTTAGCCACTTTTAAATTAACTAAGTTTAGAAAAGTACACCATAAATATTACTGAATTTGTCATATTTATTTTTTTATTGTATTTATTTGTTTATTTTCTATGGGGGAATAAGTATCTGGAGTGAAAGGTGATCAAGGAATACCAGGACTAAAAGGAGAAAAGGGTGGTGAAGGACCACAAGGACCTCCCGGCTTGCCTGGCCGAGAAGGCCTCCAGGTAAAGCTAATCCAGCATGCGAAAAAAACATATATATGTATATATTTTTTCTTTTTTTAAAAAGGGAAAGCCTGGAGAAAAGGGTGAAAGAGGACCGATTGGCCTTAAGGGTGAGCGAGGGCAACCGGGACCATCTATGGGCGAGAAGGGCGAACGAGGGAAAAAAGGCAGGCGAGGACGGCCAGGTCCTCCTGGTCAGCCCGGCCCGGTACTTATATTTTTATTCCAAATTTTTTTTAAATTTATTTATACCTTCATTACATCAATAGGCAAGCCCTGAAACCCCACTTGGAGCCAAAGGACAAAAGGGAGAACCGGGAGAGTTGACAAATCCTTTTGGCGATCCAATAGCGGTAAATTTTCAACAATGTTCTTGCCGGGTCAAAATAAATCAAATTTTCAAAAATAATTTTTTTTAGGTCAAAGGTGATAAAGGTGAACCAGGAAAGGATGCGGTGCAGTATGTGCCTGTACCTGGACCTCCTGGCCCGCCAGGCCCACCGGTAAACCATCTGACAATTTCAAAAAATACCGAATATCTAATTTCTTTAAAATTTAGGGCCCACCTGGAATAGGGCAGAAGGGCGAGCCTGGAGAAGAAAGGAATAGAGTCTACGGGCAGCCATCATACATTCCGAGGTCAGGACTCAGAGGCAGCTTAGAAGAACTTAAAGCGCTCAAAGAACTCAAAGACTTAAAAGAAGGTACACCAAAATATTATTTTATTAATATCTTAAACTGCCAACTTGTTTTAATAATTTGTATCAAGTTATCCATATTTATGAAAAAGTGAGTTTCATGAAAATTTTGTACTTTCTTTATTATTCAAGACATTCATGTTAATGTATTTTATGATGTTTCATATGAAATAAAATTTTTGATTAATCTAAAATAAAAATAAACAGGGAAGGAAGGAAAGGAATCATCACCGTCCTCCGAAAGCACACTCATCGTACCTGGAGCTGTGACGTTTGACAACTTGGCTGCAATGTCTGAAGTACGTCAATCGAAATATAAGCAAAACATAATAAATTAACGTAACTTTTTCATTTAGCTATCTGTCGTGAGCCCTGTTGGAACCCTGGCTTACATCAAAGACGAAGAAGCTTTGCTGGTGCGGGTCAACAAAGGCTGGCAGTACATTGCAGTAGGTTTATTAAAACTTAGAAATTTATTCAGTTTTGGTAAAAATTTGTTTCTTTTCAGCTTGGATCTTTGGTGTCGACAACGACAGAAGAGCCTCCGCAGACTACTCCTGAAGAGGAGAAGATAGAATCCTTATTCGAGTCTTCCAACCTGGTCAACCATGTGCCAGAGCCCAAAGATGGCCCTACAGTCAGTAAATCTTATCATTTCAAATTTTAAACAAACTAATATTTACTTGTTTTTTCAGGAATGGCAGCCAAAGATGGTAAATGTTAAATAATTGTTAAAAGTCGGGTTTTATTGATGTATTTTTCTTTTTTTTAGTTAAGATTAGCGGCTTTGAATGAAGCCTATAGTGGAGGGATGAAAGGGCAAAGGGGTGCAGATTATTCCTGCTACAGGCAGGCCAGAAGAGCTGGGCTCAGAGGGACCTTCCGCGCCTTTCTCGCATCTAGAGTGCACAATCTAGACAGTATTATTCGAGCACCAGAAAAAGACCTGCCGATCGTCAACATCAAGGTTTGACATTTTTGATTCAAATTTTTTACAAATACTACATACTTTTTTTTATTCTTTAGGGCGATATTCTGTTTAACTCGTGGAAGGATATATTCAACGGAAATGGTGGATATTTTACCCAGCAACCTAGAATTTACAGCTTTAGCGGAAAGAACATACTCACAGATTTTTCATGGTAAGATGATAAAGAAATTAAAAAAAAAATTATACGTGACTGACTTGTAAAATCAGGCCGCAGAAATATATATGGCATGGATCGCTGGTTACGGGAGAGAAGGCTGTTGACGAGTACTGCGATGGCTGGGAGTCTGACTCTGTCGATAGGGTTGGCCTTGCCTCATCTCTGCACAACGGGAAGCTCCTTGGCCAAGAGCCTCTCGCTTGCAATCACAGGTTGGTTATTTTCTTTCTACCGTCCAGAGAATGTTTATTTATTTATTTTTTTTCTTTTAGGTTTGCAGTGCTTTGCATAGAAACAGGTGCGCTACCGCTGACCCGGCGTCGTCGGAGGCGGCAGCCGGATGAGATGACCGAGAAGGAATATTCGAAATTTATTGATGAGATCTCGACCGAAGCACTCTGATGCCGTTCACAAGCATGGACTGAAGTTTTACAATAAAAGAGAAAGCCTAATTTTTTTAATTTTTTTATTGCGAGGTATTAAATTTATTGGAATAGAATTTCCAAAAAAATCCTCTGCCCTGATATTCCTAGACTCCAAACGGCTCACTTAAGACTCATGATTTTAATTCACTTTTAAATAAATTATAGTTTAATTTTTTTTAAATAAAACAGATAAATTAAAAAATAATTATACAAGGAATAATGGAAAATTTAATTGTTAGTTTATGAGCAAGAGTGTTGGAATTTTACTTGGGGTAGAGGTGTACCTTTTATTTAAATTTTGATTAAATTTTTTAAAATGTCTTTAAGAGAAATATTTTGGGATTAAAAAAACAAGAGTTTAATAAGCACAACGGTAACACCTAAATAATAAATAATAAGATCCCAATGAAATACCCTCCAAAGTGTTGAAAGTTTTCAAGTGAACATGGCTGTCGAATGTCGTTTAATTTGTTAAAATGATAAATAAATAATTGATTAAAAATTAAACGGTGTTTAAAATTTTGAAAAGAATGACGAGAATAGTTTTTCTAATAATTTCTCGGTGATGTAATTTTTTAGCGATTACGCGACCTTTGTAGTTGAATGGCCTCAGCGATCGTTTAACGCGAATGATCAGATTTTGAAAAAAAATTAACGCAAATGAATGATCATTTGTTAAAGGGTCGCAACTTCAGTATTATTTAGTAATTCACATTCTCCTATATTTATTTTTTTACGAATTAAACAAAAATTATGTTATATATGTAAAAAAAATGAAATATATAAAAAATTAAGGTTATTGCTAATAGTAAAAATATTATATTGTTGGGATGTCACTGTTATTTTACCAGTATATTTAAAATAATATATAAGAAGAAAAGAAAATGTGAAGAATTATATTACAAAAAGTATATATATGTATAAATAAATGTTATTTCTCAAGAGGATTAAAAAATTAATTGATAAGAGTCCGGTGCTCAAAATGTGGTTGAAAAAAAATGTATAAAAAAATGCTTTTCTGGCTTCTTTAATGAGTGTAAATGTATGAAAGTGTAAGTGGATTTTTGTAAGAAAGTGTGCTTCCAGTTTTAATTTTTTAAATTTTTTTTAAAACGAGTTTTGAGGCACTTTTTATTTCAAGGTGCGCTTCTGAGTGCGAAAGTTAACTCTGTGTTCATGTACAAAGCACAAGGCTGGCAGATAGTTTATCAGTCTCAATTTACACCGTTAATGGTGTGCCGCATTGTAAAACAGAGTGCACATTTTCATAAACTAATCATTGTGTAAATTTTGTATTGTAAATTTTAATAAAGATAAAATTAAATCCCCTCGTCTTTGAAATGTTTGTATGATCGAAAAAGGATGTCGCTTTCTTAAACGTATTGAATATATATGTTTTCAGAAAAAAAGTGTAAATTTTAAAATAAGAAAACCATCTTTAAAAACTGTGTGTACTTACTTGAATACAATTATTAATAATTGGTCTTTTTTTATTTGGACTTTTTATTTAACTTACATATTTTCTGCTCGTTACAACTATTCCATAACATTCCTATCTGTAGCCATAAAAGAAGTAAAATTTAAAAAATAAATTCACTATTAGTGAAGCCCGAGGATATCAAAATACCCAGCATCTCACTTAATCAGATTGAAGAAAACATTCAATAATGGAGTTACAGAAATGATGTTAACAATACTGCAAAGACACAAGGAAATAATAACACACAATTGCAAAATAGTTTGGTATACGGAGAGAGAAGGTCATAGCCACCGCTGACACAGAATCCTCAACCCTGCCAGACAGCCAGTCAGGAGAGGATGTGGCCAATTAGCTGAGCAGGCAGAAAGAGAAACAGGGGATGAGTACTATTGGATGGAAATTGTAAGAAGCAGGATAATTTCCTGTACAATAAAAGGAAAAAATGTCCTTAATAAACCGTTTTTCCCCCCATCTCGGAGGTTACATGCAGAATCCCCCCACTCATACAAAATGGTGGAGACACTGTAAAAAAGTGGTTTTCGTGCAGATCAAAGAGAACTCATAACGTTCTTAAGTCCAGAATAATGTTTGTAGCAAGACTAAGCCAAAAAAACAAATGTACGACTAACCCTGGACCCACATGATTTAGAAGCCAAACAAAACAATGAATGATGGAAGCAACAGTGGGCGGTGTATCTTAATTTTGGGTTGGGGTTCAATGGTACTTGATCATCCTCCTTGGATAGGTTCAACCGTAAAGAAAATGGCATCACTTCTTATGAGGAATCTTTGTTTGCATTGAGCGCTTCAAGAGAGGCTGCCTACTTCAACTAGGCTGCCTTCTCTCTCACGAACAAACCTGGAAAGAATCCAACCTTTCCTGAACAACGTCATAATCCTTTGCCAAGCATACCTAGATATGAGCAAGAAGAAAAGTCAGAATAGCAATAAGAGGATTGTGGTCCTCTCTACTGGAGAAGGTTAACCTGATGCCAGTCAATATGGACAAGGAGACATCAGAGTTGTTGGTAGAGCAGAGGAAGCAATATTGCGCAGCAGCTGAGCTTTCATGGGAAGTCTATCAACTATCTCTGCTCTATATGGTCATAGAAAATTGGGCGCTTGAATATACTAACAAAACAAGCAGTTGATTTTATTAGATTCATCTGCAAAACAAGTACGATTTAGAAACAAGTTCTCTACTAGTGGAGCAATTATGAACTGCTACTTAATAACTAAAGCCCATGTCCCACCCTGCATTTTCATAAAAACAGCCCTGTTTCCTCCAAACACTCGTTGCAGCGTTAAACACAACTCATATCCGATGGCATCCTTCTCTAAATGGAGCCAATTAATGACACTCTTGAACTAAGGTCAGATCGAACAACCTGTTGCTATATAAACAGACATGCAGCTATTCTACTTCTTCTCCGTGTAAGCATCTGTGTTTAAACCTAACATAACCTGTTCGTATTCCCCATCACATTTTACATTCATGCTAATAAATACATACAATATCAATGTTCATGAAAGGAAACAAACAATACGATGTCAGTACTATATAAAATAAAACAGCCCTGTTTCATCTAATTATACTTTGCAATACTTAAAACATCTCATATCAGATGGCATCTTACACGCCATCTATAAAGAACCAAAGAATGACAACATTCAATTAAAACAGACAATCGGAAGAATTACGAAAACTTTCTCTACAACCAATACAGCTGTTTTGGACCAATATTGTCTATTACTAGTCCTAAAAGAACCCTAAACTTTTATTAATTATCTGGAAGTCACGGTTTACTAGTGAAGTTTTTACCCCTTCTTATTGTACAATTTTGGTTACTATTTCCACTTTTATCAATTGTAATTCAAAAGGGGTGTTTAAAAAATTCAAATTCACTTTTTTTTCAATACTTTACCCAATTTTCGTTACATTTTAATGTTACATGATGGAAAAAATACATTGTAAAAAATTATACAAAACAAAAATACTCTTCTGTAAAAAATCATTTTTTATCGTCTTGTTAATTTTAAAATACAATAAGTATATTAATACAAAAAAAATGACATTTTTTCTGTTTTAAATGTTTCAATTTTATTTTTCTCAGACAGACACAAATCACATCAAGATAAATACTTTGATATTTACACATAAAAACAACAACTCAAAGCATTATATACAAACTGAAAACACACTGGTAACAAATGAAATTTATATTTTAAAAAAATTAAAAATGGGCCGGTGATAGTTTACAGTGCACAAAAGGATCTACCACCGCCATATTGATTAAAGGAAATGATTATTACAAAATATCTACTCATCTAGGCATTTCATCTACTTTTTCATTTTATATTAAAATGCTTAGGGTTGTTAAATTTGTTTATTAAATAAAATATAAAGACTAGCTTTTCTTTAGGCCTAGTCGAACATTTCAAATGTCAGAAAGAATTATTTTGTACAAATATATAAATAAAGTTATTAGATTGAAAAATTAAACTTAATATAAGTTTAAACATTATACTAAACATTTTTAAAAAAATGCATAATTTGTGTCTAAAATATATATTAAATAAAGGGGGGATAATAATTTTTATTTACAAAATTAATTTGACACCCCATTATAAAAGATCTCAGGCAAATATTTTATAATATTAACCAACGACAATTAAAATTTTCATCCAAACCTAACTTTCTACTTTTATTTTTAATAAGGATATACAATGTTTTATTTAGGAGAGTGGATATGTTTTTTTTTTTAAAGACATTATAAACACTTATAGGTTTTTTGTTTTTAAAATTAAAAAAATGAAGTCTATGAACACACAAATTACTGCTAATGATATTTGATATGATCATGAGCGTTTCAAGATCCGAGGGCTGAAAGGGATTCAGTATGATTACTTGAAAAAACATTTCGTATATATTATAAAACGAGGCAGTTTTGTTTTGTTTTACATGAAAAACAATATATTTCAGCAAAAGTTCACGCTTGAACCATTTTTTTTATACAAATTTAAAACAGTCTTTATCACATAGCGCCGCGGTTTAATCAGGGTGACTCATTGCTGAATATATTTTCAAGGAGCTCTGTGTACTCTTGCTGTGACAGTTCTGTGCTGCGACGCCTTCGCTTTTTCCCCGAGTGCGATGATGCTATTTCTACACACAAAACGGCTAACCTAAAAAACAAAAAATTAGTAGTAAAATTTAATAATTTTAATTTATTTAAATAGAATACCTGTAAGAGCAGAGCATGGGCTCTTGTCCAATCAGCTTGTACTTATGTTGTGAATTCTGAATTAGAGGTGATGCCATGCCGACCTTTTCTGATGAACCCGACTCCCACTCGTCGCAATACTCGTCCATTGCTCTTTCCCCGCTCGGTTTAGCTCCATGCCATATATACTTCTGAGGCCTGAAATTTTTTATTATAAACCAAGAACATTTTGTTGTTAATTATATTTTTACCATGAGAAATCTGAGACAATGTTTTTCCCGCTGAAGCTGTAAATCCTAGGCTGTTGGCTGAAATGGGACCCATCTTCGGAAAAGATGTCTTTCCAGGAGTTAAACAGCACTTCTCCCTGAAGGGAACAAATTTATTTAGATTATTTATTTTTATTTTCATTTAATATGGTACATTATTCTAATTTGGTGAGGGAGTAGTTAGAGTTCAAGGTGAATATGGGTTTTCACATTTTATCAGGGTAAAGTGATGAATTAAGCAAATTATAGCAGTTCTATTCATCTTGGTCAAATAAAGGATCAGCTCATAAAGGGTGAAAAAGGAAAACATTCTATATAAACAGATTTAAAAGATATTCAAGCTGAAATTTTGAACATGAGTTTTTTCAATTTTATAAAAAAAAAAAAGGTGAATTAGCTCAATCCAACAATTTTTAATCACCTCAAATTTTGGCCAAAAAAGCAACAGTTGGCCTCATTATGTCCTATAGGAAAATACTCTGTATATACAAATGTTTAAAGTTATCCATGTATAACCTTAAACATGGGTTTTCTGAATTTTGTCTACCCACAAATGGTGAATTCAGCTGATTCGAGTAGTTCAAGATATCTCAAATTTTGGCCAAATAAAGCAAAAGATCAGATTGTAAATGGTGAAAAAAGAAAACTTCCTTTATATACAGATTTCAAAGGTATAAATTCCAAATGTTAAACATGGTTTTCACAATTTTAGCAATATTGCAGAAAAAACTTGTCTCTCATCAATCCTATACTATCTAGTGTTGCACAGGGCAGCGTCCTTGCTTCCCTACTTTACTCACTTTACCAGCCTACCAACACGACCTAACAATATTACTTTTATCTTTGCCCATGATACCGCCAACCTTTCTTCTGATAAAGATTCAGTCACAGCTTTCCGTAATTTTTAAAATCATCTGCACACCCTTGAGCTTCGATAGTGGAGAATCAAGTTCAATGAAATAAAATCAACATCAACCATGTTCTCATCATTTTCTAGTCCGGACAAACAATTGACGTAAAACCTCGCCTGTGATTTAAGCTCAACGAACAAAAGCAAAACCAGACGAATTCTACATTATTACAAAATTAAATTAAACAGATAAAATATGCAAAACAAGGTTACATTCTACTGGGTCAGGAGTTGCAGGAGTAGAGGAAAATGAACACTTGCTAGGAATGGAGCTGTTATGCTGCTGATAGTTCTCGAGATGTTTTATGACATAAAGAGAAATTATCAATGAGAAATTTTGTCAAGAAAACATAGCAAAAGTGAAGTAACAACAGAAGTCACTCACTACACACAAACAATCCAAAAACCTCCTGGAGGGCTTGAAAGACTGACAATGAAATGCATCAGAGGAAGCAGGAAAAACTCAAAAATTTAACAAGATTGCAAACTTCTCAAGAGACTTTGCTGAATCATTCTGAATTTTTACATCTACCCCTACAATGTTAGGATGTTCCTTAAAGTGACCATTATTTTGAGATTTCTCAATCATTACCTTGAGGTTTACAACGGGCAAGTCCCTGTCTGAAAATTTCACTATACTGTAGAGGTTTTCTATCCGAGAGGTGAGGAAAGCTCTGAAAGTGCCACGAAGTCCTGCCCTTCTGGCTTGCCTGTAGCAAGAGTAGTCAGCGCCACGCAGGCCTTTCATTTCTCCGCTGTATGGCTCATTGAGAGCGGCCAGTCTCAGCTTTCAAAAACACAAAAATAAATTAGTTTCTATGCAAATTGCGATAAAACGACACAATTAATACCATGCGAGGGTGCCAATCCTTAAGTAGCGTTAAAAAAAATTGAATAGTATTTTTAATAAAAATATTTTTAATAGTTGTTTTTAATTATACCATTGGGCCGTCCATTGGGACAGGTTGAGTCTTGACGTGATTCGATGATTCAAACGGTGGCCTTAGTTTTTCAGTCGTCGTAGTCGGAGGGGGTTCCGTTGTCACAGGAACGAGTGATCCAAGCTTTAAAAACAATATAATGACATAAAAATAAATAAATAAAATTAACTAGTCTTACAGCGATGTACTGCCAGCCTTTGTTGACTCGAACCAAAAGAGCTTCCTCATCTGTAATATAAGCGAGAGTGCCCACCGTGCTTGCCGTTGACATCTGTGTTTAATATTTCAAAAGATTATTTTTTTTTAAATTGTCGCCTGATTGAAACTCACCCTAGCCATTGCGTCCAGGTTCTGAAACGTAACCGCCCCTGGTACAATTTTGGGCATTTGGTATTGCATTTCTGGTATCCTCGCTGTAAAGAAATAAAGAAAATATATAGATTTTTTCCGATTATTTAATCATTTTCCAGTCAAATGAGTGCACAGAAATTTTTAATTTGTAAACTCATAATTCTTACAGTCAGACTTTTCTTTCAGTTCTCTCAGTTCTTTCAAAGCCCTAAGCTCTTCAAGACTTCCTCTCGGTCCTCGCAGCGTAAAACGATTTCAAAGTTAGGCATGCATATTATTTTGATTTTTTTAAAACATAATTTTACCTTGTCTGGGGTTTGGTGGATCTATGAGTACCCTTCCGTGCATGTGTCCCGTCGAACCGGGCTCGCCCTTTGGCCCGACGACCGTATCTCCGGGCAGACCCTAGAAATTTGTTTATTTAGATTGGAATTTTTAATTTTGTGTCGAGCTAGAAAACATACCGGAGGGCCTGGAGGCCCAGGTGGCCCTGGTACAGGAACATACTGGACGGCGTCTTTTCCCGGTTCGCCTTTCTCTCCTTTCAACTAAAGGAAAATATTTACCATAGATCAAATCACATAATAAAATCCATTCATATTAATTGATATAAATAGTTAATTGGTATAAAAAATCTAGCGGGGAAGCTATCCATTGATATGACTGCTAAAATATTATTATTTTAATCACTCTTACTCTCCGTGAGCAGGTCAAGGGGCCAATAATTGTGTAGACATCGAGGAGGATTATTGGAAAGAGATCAGGAGGCAATTTGTTGTACATGGAGATTAGAGTGGGATTAAAAGTTAGTTTGGCATATTTTGTAGTGGATCTTGCATGTTTTTTATACTTTTATGGACGGCCTGGTTGGAAAATTAGAACAGGCCAATGATTGATCTAAGGTTTCTGTCTGATTCTGCTGACATTGGAAGGTTTGATTGTTTTGATGAGAAAGTTCATAGAAAGTAGGATGCCTTTGAATTTCCAGAGCAAACTAAGATCTTGTGGTTTTTACTGTCCTAGATACAAAAATCTGCATCTACAAAGACACAAAAATTCACAAAAACATAAAATGTGTTCTGCGGTCCTCCCCTCTCCTGGCAGTATCTGCGCAGTGTTTTTCTGTCTGTCCTATCTGGTGCATGTGCCTTCTTAAGTGGCAGTGCCCTGTCAGGAATGTAACCAGAATCCTGGTTGTTGTGGTTGCCTTTCATTAATTCCGTTGTAAGTTTTACAGCTGGACCTTCTTACAATCTCTTCAACCTCATGCCTGGGGTATTATTCCACCAAACTTTGGACTCTTTAAGATGTATCCTCTTTTGTTGCAAGATGCTAAGACACAGTAGAGTTCAGGACCTAGAGAGTCCATGTTAGTTAGCTCCCTCTTTGGCCAACACGACAACCTTTTCATTGCCTTTGTCCTGAATGCCCAGAGGCCCATGCAAAGGTCAGGTCATTGGTGTCGCTGACTTCCACCACGGCCTCCATGCAGTTCCAAATGCTTGTTGCCTTTATTCGAATAAGGCTAGGGTCTTTAGTGCTACCTAACTGTCAGAGAAGATGGCTATATTCCGGGAATGTATTTCTAGCCTTTTTATATCCTTGGTGAAATGTTCAACTGTTATGATTTCAGACTGGAAAACTGTAGCTTATTTACCTAAGTTTAGTTCATCCCGAAGACTCCAACCGCAATGACTGTGTAAGTTTTGGAGCTGTCAGTGTACCAGTAGGATATCCCCTTTAGCATTGTTCCTTTGGCACTTCTTCCTGTTCTGGAATCAGTACCTTGGACTTTTTAGTAAAATTGAATTTTGAAGTAGTGCTCGATCAATTAGCATGCCTAATACGGCATCAGCCTGTTCTCCTCCCTCAATTTCCATTTATGAGGTGTTCTGGCTTCTCTCTTTGGAGGTTAAGTAGTACATGGTGGGTAAAGATTACATTTTTGGACTTTGTGGTCTCGTGTTTCATTCGCTAACTTTTTAACCTTTGTTCAATGTATGGCTGCATGGTTCGGGGAGCTAAAAGGCCTGAGTTGTAAAATAAAACAGAATAGCAGAAAACCTTCTATTGAGGGATACCACCGTATGGTTTGTGAAACTGAAGAACGGAATTCAACTCATGCTCTACTTGTCAGCCATGTAGGATTGAGAATAAGTCAGTGTGTAGTGTGATGTCCCTTGAATTTCCATAGCAAGCCCAGGTGTCAGACTTGATTGACGATTGAAATCTGATGACTGGGAAGAACCCCGAACAGTATTCCTTCTTTTTAAAAAGGATCCGTTATGTCCACATGATGGCAAACTATCATGGCATTTACCAATAATCAGTCTGGCTGGAATTTACAAGATAGTGCAGTTTCTAAGGTTATGTGAATGGGTGAACCATCGAAAACTTATATGGCGTAGGGTGGGGTACAGAGGATTGCATTATAAAGGGTGGCTCGGGCAACTATAGCTTTTGTCAGGAGTTGGGATGAAGGACTGAATATTACAATTTTAATTTGATTTTAATGTTGTTTCAAATTACTTCAATTCTTCCTCCAAAAGGATTTGTGATTTCTCCAGGTTCACCTTTATCTCCCTTTCCTCCTTGAGGTCCTGGAAGTCCTGCAGGTCCCGGTCTACCAGGATAGCCCTTAAATCAATACAACACATTAATAACATGATGCACATTATTACATCTGTACTTACACCAGCATCCTTGGGATTTTTTAAAAAAGAAAAAAATGCAAATATAAATTATTTTAAGGTTATGGTTAAGGTATGTTTAAAATTTTGCTTACGATTTGAGATTCTCCTGGCTTTCCAGGAGGACCAGGTGGGCCAGGCTTGCCTCTCCTTCCTCTCTTTCCCCTTTCACCCTTTTCTCCACTTCCTGGCCCAGGAGGACCTCTTTCGCCTTTGGGTCCTGGTGGGCCTTCTGGTCCCCTTATACCTATTTCACCTTGTGTACCCTATAATGATCAAATGATTAATTTTAATTATATTAATGAAACAAATAATTAGATAAATACTGGTATTCCATTGGTGCCTGGCATGCCAGGAGGCCCTCTGTCTCCTTCGCTACCTTTTTCACCTTTCAGGCCTGGTTCTCCCTTATCCCCTTTCAAACCAGGCTCGCCCTTTGTTCCACCTTTAAAAAAATCCAACAAATTTAAATATTTCATGATGATTATTTCTAAACAATTAACTAACCAGCAACTCCTGGAGGAAGGTTGAAATTATCTTCCAATGAGTAAGTAAGTCCGGGTGGACCTGGAGGTCCTGGAGGACCAGGCGGTCCTGAATCACCTGCGGGCAAAAATGATTGGAGAAATTGCTTCGTGATTTTTTTCAATCAGCATACCTTTTTCTCCTTTAACAGCGGGCCTGCCATTCTCACCAGGGGAACCGGGCATGCCGTCTATGCCCGGTGGACCCTGTTCACCATTGTAACCCTGAAGTCCTGGAGGACCTTGGTGTCCCCGTTCTCCTTTGGGGCCTTTCAATCCCGGTTCTCCTCGCTCACCCTTGTCTCCAGAAACACCCCTTTCGCCCTTAGGTCCCATCGGTCCATCCGCACCTGTGTCACCCTTGGGACCAGGTGAGCCCAGGCGTCCCATCGAACCATCATAACTACTCCCCATGATCGCTTCCTAAAAATAAATATTAAATTAAAAATCTTTTAAAAAATAAGATTAATATAGAAATAGAAGCATATTCTAATATATCTGGTGTTCCTCGTTATATTTTTTCTACCTTAAACATTGCTCTAGGTCTCCAGCTAGGCTGCATTAAACAATTTCAAACAAACATTTAAATGGATAAATTTAGCGGGAATGGGTTTTTCTAATTTACTTACATCAAAATTGGAAAATTCTGATGTCCCTGGAGGCCCAGGAGGTCCTGGTACACCTGGCATCCCTGGAGCTCCATCCAGTCCTGGTTCGCCTGCAAAAATTAATCTTTTTAAAAACTCTTTAATTAAATATTTTGCACAAGAGGTCACGAGGTGGTCACAATCTTCAACCTCATCTCTGATTATGACCTATTCTATTATTCTATTTCTTCCTATTCGTTTTATTCTGGTTGAGGACACATAAGATGCCTTGGACTGTATTAAAGCAGAAGATCTATATCCCTATCTACTTGACAATCTATCTAAACAGATTTTTTAAATTAAATAAATCTATTTAATTTAAATAATAAATAATATACCTTTTTGGCCCTGGATTCCTTCAGGACCTCTCGGCCCTTGATCACCCCTATCTCCCTTCAACCCCCTCGGGCCAGTGCTGCCCCTTTCACCCGTTATACCCGGTGTACCCTGTAAAGGAATATTTGTTAGAATAAAATCTTTTGGGGTTTTGTCAAAAGCCCACCTTCGGCCCAGGTGGCCCGGTGGATCCGTCGATGCCTGGGATGCCAGGCGGACCCGCTATCATCTTCGGCATCATGAAATCCCTAAGCAGCTGGGTCATGTTGCACGTGCAGACACCGGGTGGTCCTGGTGGTCCCATGTTCATATCACCTCCAGAAAACTTAAAAATACACATAAAACAATTATACAACATAAAGATTAAATATTTTAAACAGTACACTCACAGGCCTAAGTCCCTTCGACTGCATATATTAAAATATTTGTAAATTTTTTTTTTTTTTGAGTTTTGTCATTGTTATGTAAATACTTGCCTCTTCATCTCCAGAACCACTGTAGATCATAGGGTCGTAGGTCAGACCGGAAAACGGCGGGCCCGGTGGTCCGGGTGGGCCTGGAGGTCCTGGAGGCCCTCTTATAGTCTCACCAGGTGGGCCCTGTATTAAACGTGCATTAAACGAAACAAAAATCAATCATCCTACAAGGAAAAAAAATGAAACATACCCTCGCTCCTTTTTCCCCTTTCTCTCCCCTGGACGACTTTCCGAGGAAAACTGGTTCTGAAAATGACGCGAAAGTAAGAAAATTTTACCCAATTTTTTTTTAATGAAGTTTTACCCATGGGCGGGGGTGGCGGCAGATTTGGGGGTATAGTCGCATCCCAAGGATCTTCTCCACTCGCTTCTACCTCACTCTGGAAAAAATATAAAAATTCCACTTCATTAAGTTGATTTTAATTCTTGAGTTTTCCTTTAAAAAAAAATCCAGTTGCAACGACAGGCGGCCTTTTCATTGTACATACAGGTGTTTAAAGTTAATTATCTAATATTTATGATTTACAAAATAAATAAATAAAAAGCCTCCCCCATCCTACGCAGATTTAATTATTTCACTCTCAGCCCCGCTGTTGTTCCTCTTTTGAATAAATGTCCCCCAGGTTGAAAAGGAGTCACCGGCCCTCGAAAGATTAAAGGCGAGCCGCCCAAGAGAAGAATAAAGAAAACGTGGAAAAATAAAAAGCTCTTCGAATTAAGTAGCCGTTTGTGAAAAAAAGCTCCCTTAATTTTCAAAGAGCCATTATCTTGTAAAAATTAAGGAAAAGGAAAACGCAGAAAGGTTTAAAGACAAGGAGGAAAGGGAGGTGTCGTTCGGCCCAACAATGGACCCATTGTACGCCCTTTGAATTAAATCCTTTCAACATGATATTCCATGGTGTCTTGAATTTGAACAAATTCGAAAATTTATTTTTCGATCAATTTGAAAAATACATCCTGCAACACAACACAAGTTTTACATGTACAAATTGTAAATATAAATTTCAGCCATTCTAATAAAACTATTTCATTGATGTATATTTTCAATGATTTAATATATCCACCACGTGTGGCAAGCAACATCGGCGGGTTTTTGAATGGACACGGCCTTCCGATGTGTTCACCTTCTACTTGACTATGGCCAGGGCGTTGCCTAAACCTTTGGCTGTCGCAAGCCGATATTCAAACCTTTTTCTTTCAAATGCCTCTTTAACGTCTGACTATTTTGCCTTGAAATCGGGCTTGAAAACCAATAAATTACCATACGTTTCGACGACGAGCCGGCTTGCAATATTGAACAAAAAATGCAGATTAAGAAGTTAAGCTCTCTTTTCGACTCAAAAGAAGAATGTCGTTTGATGTAAGCATACACTATGTCTGACAAGAAACATCGGAGGGTTTTGAATCGACTCTGCCGTCCGTTGTGCTCACCTCGTACTTGACTATGGCCAGGGCGTTGTCTAAACCTTTAGCTGTTCGCAAGCCGACTTTCGAAAGTTTTTCTTTCAAATGCATCTTTAACGTCAAATCATTATGCTTTGAAACCGTGCTTGAAAACCAATAAATTGTCATACGTTTCGACGATGGAACCGATTTTGACTATTGAACAAAAAGTAAGAGGTGCATATTAAAAAGTAACCTCTGTCTTTGGCTAAAAGCAGGCTAAAACTATACAAAAAGACTCTTTCCCCCGAAAGTATAAGCAGAATAACCTAAAAGAAGGGATTTGTATTATAAAATGTTATCCTGTGACGAAAATCGTAAGGAAATTGATCTAATTGAGCTAAGGGTTCTGTTCATTTATGCTCTCATTGTTCAATATTCTTACCTAGAAGCCATAATCGATTTTAATTCATAAACTCAACTTCAATATTTTGCGAAACGATGGAAATTTTATAAATCTAATGCGATTATTGAAGAGCTGCTTAATGATAAACAGCTTCAAGTTCGTTTTAATCGGTTTAGAATTTTGCATGAATACATTGATTCGTGAAAACGCATTACAAGTTTTATACTCACTTTATAAGTCGAAGGTCGAAATTAGCGAACCTCTAGGCCCCACACTATTTCCAAGTTGAGAACTATGCAATCGAACTCTGTCCGCAAGAAATACTTAAAAAACGATTAAAACAGTTATTCTCAGACAGCGAAACAGCGCTAAAGCACTCTTCAAGCTTCGTGAAAAACGAATCTGATAGCTATGATGTGGGTGCCAGGACAAGAACACGAACACCACTTGCCAAAATTACTTGATTAAAAGTGCTTTGTAGGAAACTCGTCTGTTAGTTGAGAAGAACCTGTCTGGAGCGAAAGACCTTGTTGCAGCCCATCATGTGGAACCAGTTGGAATAAGTTCCCATCAAAATTGTTCTCAAAATTTGATAGTCGTTATCAGGAAGGGGATCAGAAATACTTCTACGAATTGGGTTAAAACTCAAGTTAAAACCATTGGAGGCATCGCCCCTTTCACAAGAACTTTTTTAATTCTGTTCCAGGTTTTTCTGGTTCAAAGATTCAACTAAAGGTATGTCAAGGCCAGGATGTTGTTGTGGACTGCTTCTGGATTTTGAGTTGGAGTGCACGAGAAAGGAATGACACCGGATGAATTCACCAGGTGCAAAATAATCAAATATGTCCTTAAACCAGGAGGACAAATTTCTACCTGTCCTTCAGGAGGCAAGAATCACGGTAAATAATGTCTTTATACTGGCCATTGCCCATTCATTTACCATTTAAAAAGGGAGAAAAAGAAATTGCAGAGGTATAGAAACACAATGACTGCAAAACGTTAGCTCTAAACTTTCCATTTTCATTTGGTCACTGAAGATGGCCTACGACGGCAAGCGTTTTAGCAGTTCACCAAACCAGCGAGAGAATACGGACCCAATAAGTAACCAAATTTCAGTTCATCTTGACTTCACTGACTCGTTGACCAACACCTACTAGCAACATTATTTTATAAATATTCCTTCGTTGCTTTTATGTCAAATCTAATCTTTAAGATCTTATGTTAAATAAAAAAATTATCTTTTGATGGATCAGCTTTGGATCTTGTAAAATTTTGTAATTTATTAACATCAGCGTACTCAAAAAGGGATAGGGCAATGTTGGCGATAAGATGATAAAAAGTGTTATGCAAAATTTATCGCCCCCCCCCCCTTCGACTTTTGAAATATATATAGGAAAACTGCAACAGATAAGAGTTCACCCATGCAAAACTTTTCATTTCTTACGACCCGCAAAGTTTTCCAGAGATACGGCAAATTGATACGTGTTCTTAAACCCGGGCCGAACTTGGACTAGTATGTTATTATACAGGGTTGAACGCACCCTGGGGCGGGGGTGGAAAAAGATAAGTGAAAACTAAATAAGTCTCTTCAAGCCATATTGTCAAGGAGGGACTTAGGACTTAGACTTAGGCTAAAGCGCTGAATCTGCTTAGAGAAGTGATGAATAGTTAATACCTCTTTGAAGGATTTAAACAATTATTAATTATAGTTTAACGTAAAATACGACGAACAAAAAAACAAATTACTGATTTTTTTATTGAATACTTAGAGGATAAATAATTTAAGTAAAAATACTTTCGATCAAGTCTGGCACGTGGGTTTGTTCTGGAGCCTAAGGGCATCCTACCCTCTACACACTACCAATATTTAATTCTTGGTGGTGAGTCCCTCAAGGTAGCGTCCTAGGCCCGCTACTGTACTCAGTATATACTGCTGCCCGTCCCATCCCAACACCACTATTCTAGCATATTACTGCAATTCTATTCCTCTCTCCCTCTCTCTCTCTCTCTCTCTCTCTCTCTCTCTCTCTCTCTATAATGCAAGGTGGGCGACCAAGACCAGAGGGGTTAAATGCCTGGGTAGACTCGTACCCCATCCCTAAAAGGTCCGGGACTTGGTCGGCTCACGTGTCCTGCATAAACCTCTTGGACTTGTTCACAAACCCCAAGATTTTGAACCATTTTATCTCGGGGAGTGATTTGGTGATGTCCTCTCCTTAAAAGATTTCAAATCTAGACCTAGCATATCTATCACACTCTGCGAGGTAGTGCCTTGCCGTTTCTTCTTTTATTTCGCAGAAGCGGCAAAAGGGATCTGGTAGGATACCCATTACGAAGAGGTGTCTTCTCAGTGGGCAATGGCCCGTCAGAATACCTACCAGCCTCCTAATTCCCTTCCTTTCTATACCTCTAACACCGACCCCTTCATAGCTCATCGAACCCTCCAGATTCAATTGATCAATGGTTTAAAAAATTAAAACCTCACAGACCCAAAACATAACCTTCACCAACGCTTCATCATCTTCAACCTCACCCACCTTCCAACTGAAAACTTCATCCACTACCGGCTTTACCTAGACAGTCGAGTCACTTGGAATCCCACGACTCAAAAGGATAGAATCGATGGTATCGATTATTTAAATGACTACTAAACAACTGAACTCTCTCATGACAATAAATACTCGTACAAAGCTCAATACTGAAACCAATATGGACATACGGGATGTAGTTTAAACAATCTTCACTCTCCGTGGAATCCTTACAATCACGGAACCATAGATCCATCGTCATGTATATGGGATAGGTATAAAAGAGGCAGCCACAACGCCTACTGCACCTCGACCTAAATAGATCTATTGTGCTCCTCTGTTAATTATAACTAACTGGCCAGATTCAGGCTATTAACCAGCCTCCGCAGGTTTGCCAGGATCTTGCTTGTGGTGTTTCTTGTCCTAGTTGCAAAGACCTACACCTACATAGACCTTTGCAGAAACATAAAATGTGTTCTGCGATCTTCTCCCCTTCCTGGCAGTATCTGCACAGTGTTTCTTCTGTCTGTTCTCCTATCCGGTGCATGTGCTTTCTTAAGTGGCATTGCCCCGTCAGGAGTACAACCAGAATCCTGGTTCGGTTGCGGTTGCCTTCCAATAGCTCTTTTGTAAGTTTTGCGGTTGGTCCTTCTATGAATCTCTTCGCATGCCGCACAACTGTGGTATTCTTCCACCAGGTTTCGGACTCATTAAGGATTCATTTTAAAATGCATCCTCTTTTGTGGCAGGCTGCTAGGGCGCAGTAGGGTTTCTGGCTTCCTGTTTGGCCAACATGTCAACCTTTGAACCATCGTCAATGATCACGTTTCCAACGATCCATCACGACCTAAATGTTCCCTTTATAAACGAAGTTGGAAAATCTTGACCAACCTTCAATCCCACTCTAATCCCCATGTATAACTACTCCTCCCGATTTCTTCACAGCAAATCTCCTCTACTTCATAAAAAAGCCCATACCTGCTCTCAAATGGATTAAGGGATGATTTCTGATTTAGGACTGCTATCACTTCATAACTTCCCCACTCCATGCTTTTTCGTTCATGCTTTTCTTTTAATTTCTTTAAGTTTGTGCATGCTGCTTTGTGTATAGTTTTTATCTTAGATTGACCATTAAATTGGTCCATCAAAAATTGAAAAGTTAGATGCTAAAAAACCTGTAATCTTCCGTTTGATCCCTGACGCTTTATGAGGTGTTGACAGGGCTAGTTTGCCTAAACTATATCAATGTTCAGCCCATTTCAAAAAATAATATTAAAACTATTAAATAACAATTAAAAAAATAAACATTACAAATCATGCAATATATTAATTTAATTAACTTAATTTCTAACAATTGTTAAAAGAATATGAAAAGTTAACGTCATTTATTTTAGTAAATATTTGTTTCCGAAAGGCGAGTTAGAAGATAATAGACTAATATCCGATATTGGATCATTCCTGTAAATTGTTAAAAGTGCTGGGCTCAAGATCATGCGTTGCAGTTGAAATGCCAGATTTTGTTGTTGTTAGGACTTTTATTTATAAGCGTTTATTTTATTGTTATTGTTAATCAAAAAAAGATTTTTTTATTGTTTTATTTCGTTTCTTACATCACCGTCCCATTTACCGTCCTTATTCAAGAACAGTAGGTCATCCGCTCTTCCAGCCTGTTGTCGAGTAAATAAAAAAAATTAAATTATTAATAATAACAACACAAGTAATTAAATAAAAATTAAATTGGATGTAACACATGGTTAACTGTCGTATTAATATAACAAAATAATTTTGTTATTATGTGGTGGTTACAGAAAAATTTTCAAACATAAATTTATGGCTGTTTTATTGTATAAAGTAACACACATAAATATTTTGTTTTGTATATATTTAGACTGAATGTATTTATTAGCGTGAATGCGTAGTGTGATAAGGCTGATTGTGTGTCCCATCAATGTACATGTGCTGCCATCTGAAGAAGAGGAACTATCCCGACGAAGAATAGGCCATTAGGTAAAGTCCGCCAGTTGCTCTGTAGTTTATTCCCGAGAAACATAAGAAGGTCGGCGACTATAGGTCATAAGTTGTCACACAGACTCTTAGTTTCGGTCCTAAGCCGACATAGGTGTCCGGTATTTAGATAAAGGTTGCTCGAAGGCAGCACTTAATTGAACGTTATCTTTTGCTCCGTATAGAGTGCGAGTAGGAACTTCATTCGATTTAAGGATTGTACTCTACTACAGCTACCAGTATTTGGGTGCCCTGCTGCGATTTCTGAAGAAAACAGGACTGCTTTAATGTATATGGTATTTGGTCGATATCCGGTTTTGTCTTTTGTTTACACTGCAAGTGAATATATTTATTAGAGTGAATGTTATGGAACCGATAGTGGATTATTGAGTATCTCATCGATCCTCAATTAGATTGGTTAACATTTGTAAACAATGAAGAGGTATTATCCACCCGACTAAGAATAAGTCATACAAGGTTGTCACACAGACGTTTATTTTTGGGGCAAAGACGACGTACGTAGAAAAACGTTGCTCAAAGTGTCCTATTTAAATGAAGGGTGACATTTCCTGATCTACATAGAGAGCGTGTAGGAATGCTACCCGATATGTGAATTATGCTTAGATCACGGCTCACAGCATTTGAGTGTCTTGTTCTGATTTCTGGAGGAAATAGGGTTGTTTTATTCTATATGGTATTTGGTCGATATCAGATTTTGTGTCCCACATAATAGAAGGGTGTTAGGTGTTATGAGAATTATGCTAGATCATGGCTACTAGTATCGTTCCGATTTCTAGAGGACCAGGGCTTCTTTATTGAACACAGTAGTTGATAGATATATAGTTTTGTGTGTATTTATTAGCGTGAAAGCGTATAGGCATATGGTACACTCGGAACGAGAAGTGCCTACCCACTACAATGATTACTGGGTTCTAGATTTATCGAAACAGACCTGTTTTATTGTACATTGTAGGCATAGATATTACATTGTTGTTTCCTTTCGTCTTTATTAGAATGAAATGAATTTATTAGCGTGAATGTGCGTGGGACAATGGTGCAATATTGAGTACCTTGTGGACGTTTAAAAAGGTTAGTTGGTGCAAAAGGTAAGACAGGCCTCAAAAGAATAATTAAAAAAAGAAAGACCTTCCCGACTAAGAATAGGCTATTATAATAAGGTTGCCAGATGCTGTATAATTTCCTAGACCAAAAGAAGAGATGTTTGAAGGGGATCCTCGAGAGGCTAACGGGTCATGGTGATGTTGAGACTGGGGTAAAGGAATCCGGTAATGGGAATAGAGGAAAAATAAAAACAGTGAATGTATTTATTAGCGTAAATTTGTAGTTTGAGATGGGCGTTGTTGGAATATTTAGTACACTATCGGCCCTCCATTAGATTAGATAATTCGTGCAAAGAGTGATCTGAATCAACGAAGATGGAGATTTACAAAAAGAGATCATACGAGGTGCACACGACTCTTATTTCGGGGGCGTACGAAGTAGGTGTGAAAGTATCCATGCCTCGTGTCCCACTTAATTAAAGGGAGTAATTTTTCCGGTTCCATATAGAGAGCGAGCAGCCACCCTTATGAGATTTGTACCGGAGTTAGTTTCTGAGCTTCGTTTTCCGATTTTCGCAGGAAACAGGGCTGTTTTATTGAATATAGCGCTTGTAAGATGACGCGTTTCGTTTTTTTTTTTTGCATAGTGAAAGTGAATATATTTTTTAGAGTGAATACGTAGGGAGAATAGGTCTAAGGTGGATTACTGAATGCTCAATTGACCCTCAATAGATTAGTTATTGTGTACAACGGGTAATGGAAGGGTCTGAATAAAGGGATGAAGTTTACTCGATTAAGAATTGGCCGTACGAGGCCGACACTCTTTTTTCGGACTGAAGCCATACGACGTATTTGTCCAACTGTGAAACTGTCACTTAATGTTTCTCACGTAATTGAAGGGTATATTCTTCGGCTCTACATAGCGAGCAATGGTATCCGATATGAGAATTATGCTAGAACACAGCTAACAGTATTGCTGGTGGCCGCGGTAGCCGAGTGGTTAAGGCGTCAGACTCTCGGCTAGTATATCCCGCGGTCGTGGGTTCGATCCCCACCGTCCTCTGGACTTTTTATCTGACGCCTAATGGGGACCGGTGGCCGGAATTGAAAGAAATTGAAGGGTATATTCTTCGGCTCTACATAGCGAGCCGAACTCAATGGAAGGGGCAGGATCAGATCTCAGTGACCCTGAATTTGGTCCCAACCCCCTTCAAACATGAGTTTCTTCGATGCAAGAACACCGCCAATGGAGCCAGGGATAAAATACAATAAGTAGAACAACTGCAGTGCTCAGGAGGAACTCCTCCAATTCCTGGTATCCATTTTAGAGAAAATGTTAGAAGTTGTCAACAAAATAGCAAAAAATAACAAAAAACAGTATTGTTCCGATTGCTGGAGGAAACACAGTACTTGGAGCATGCATAGTTTTGTGAGCATTGCGAGTGAATGTATTTATTAGCTAGAATGCGTATAGACGTTGGTTTATAAGTCACACGCTCAATTCTGTACATATGTATAATAATCAATCAAAAACAGACGAGCCAGTAGGGTCCGAGAAAGTGAACTTTTTTTATGAAGTTGTCTGGTATGTATAAGTATGTAAATTAGTAAAAATTTGAGTTGTTTTTCCCATTTAAAATGAAAAGTGGTATGTTCTTGCTAAATACGCAGACTGGTCCGGTCTTTCTCTTTTGACACGACCATTGTCCAAAAGAGCTTAATTAGTTATAGTAATCAAGTCCTAACAAGATGTGACAATCTTTATCTCGGAGGTAGAATGGAGAATAGAGAGAAAAAGAAAGAAAAAAAAATCGGTTTCGGAAATTGAACGTCGGATATATGCGAAAGGAAGGGTCAGGGGTCTGGCGGTCGTGGGATTGGAAGCAATTCCCTTTTGAAAGACATTCAATTAACATCGGACCGCCACGGGGCCCCTTATCTGCATCCTTCCTTTCATAATAATAAATTTGCGTGATCCAATTCATTAGCGGGCGGGCATCCAGTGATTGCCCCTCGTTTCCAACCCCGCCAGCCATCGCAACAAGACCAATTAACGTTAACCACCCCCTTCCGACAACGGGGGTGGGGTTTAATTAGCGATTTCTTTCCGTCTTGAAAAGGTACAACTGATTTAGTAGGATTTGGACTATTTTCTAATAAAATCGTCTCACTTCTATCAAATCGTTCACGGTTTTCCTTCCACCTAAATCCATTAATTGGAAATTAAATTATGCTCAATGTGATTGTTTTTTTCAACTTTAAATTAAAGTCAATTAAATAAAAATTAAATAAAAATACTGAAAAGACCATTTTTTAATTACCAGGTCTTCTAGAAAGTCCTTCCGTTTTTATTATTTTAAATTTTATTGATTGAAATAATACCAATTGGCTTAATTATCCCCTCGCCCAAAAAGAAGCAAAATTAAAAAAACATTTTTGAATAAAAAATACTTTTTTCTTTGTGAGGAAAGTCAAATTCGATAAGGGATTTTGTCAGTTTTTAACAATTATTTAAGTACTCAAGCCTATTGCCAAAAAAGTACTAGAAAGATGGAATTTTTTAAAAATTATTATCGGACAAATTTCAAAAATTTATATTGTCTTTTTAATAATATTTAAGCTTTTTATGAATAAAAAAAACAGCATACAGAAAAAGGAAAATAAACCCAATATTTTTTTCGCAGAAAATAGAATGGTGAGCAAGAAATATTGGAGAACTACAAACCAAAAACCATTTTCACCTGCACTTTACTCTTTGATTATTTTGTTTGTACCCTAAGTATTAGTCCGTATTAGAAATGTGATCACAGAAAGTTTTTTCACACGGTCACAGCACTAAACTGATGACGCACATGCCATGAGAAACCAGCCCATGCTGGCACTCATTGACAGTATGAGAAATTAAAAGCCAAGACCACGAAGTAATGGGTAGGGGGTGATCGAGCAGTAAGGTTAGGATGGTCGAGAGGTTATGTGACACTTTTGGAATCAAGAACAGATCAGTTTGTTGACGAAAGGCATGTTGAGGTCATTGTGGATAGTGTAGTTACTTGGCAAAATATAGTTCCACTCCTTCCAAACTGGTCGCAGTCAAGTCTTGTGTAAGGTTAGTTTAGTGCTGATTGAACGGATTTCGGTCCTAGAGTTTAAATTAATTAAATTTATTTTAAAAGGAAAAGAACTCAATTCATCATAAGTGAATTCTCTAATTAGATCAGGTCGATACGACCAAGCCTGTCGAGGAAATCTGATCAATTGCAAACTGTTCCTGCCATTAAGGAATTCAATTATCTGGTTCTGCTAAGCCTGCTGTGACCTGTAAGAGGATAAATAAATTCCGCGAGCATGGGACATACACCCAAGAAATGGATCACATCCTCCTTTTCTCTAAGGTTACAAAGAGCACAGAGGGATAACTCTTTCTCGCCACGGAATGTAGAAAAATCAATAGCTTCTTCATTTAAAAAAACAACTCAGCTTCGTGGGCGAAAGATCTGTATTTCTTGAATTAAGTGACAGCAGGGCAGGGGGGGTACTGCAGATCTTTGTGTAAAAGAAAACGGTTGAACTGTCGAGCCACTCTTCCCGGTAACATTCGTCCA